ACAGCCTGTAGGGCCACTGAGGAATGGAAGATGCACAGGCCCTACTTGTGGGCAGAGTCAGAGCTTCAGGTAACCTCTCTTCCCTGGGCATCAAGTAACTCCAGTCAGAGGGATCACTGATTGTTTTACTTCCTGCAATGAAACTACCCTGCTTTTTTTTTGGCGGGGGGCAGGGGAGGGGGACGGGGACAGAATTTTAAAATGAGCTTCCTTTAAGAAGATTTTATTATTTTTAATGCTATTTTTTTAAAAGACTAATCACTGACAATAAGAAGAGCTTAAAATAGAATTTTAGGCTTCCAGATTTTAATGGCCCTAGAAAAACTCCATTGTTAACTCAGAAGCAGCTGCATACGTCTAAAAAAATTATTCTGAGATTTGGCAGGGTTTCTTAAGAAACTTGAAGCTCAGCAAAAAAGTTAAATAAACTATCCTTGAAAAATTCCCAAGTGCTCAAGAAATAATTTCCAAGGGAATTTTGTCCGTTCAATTAATCGAGCAGCTTTCTAACAGCAAATTTATGGAACTGACATTCTAAGGAGTCCAAGAATGCACAAAGAGGAGCTCCTTGGCACCACAGTCCCCCGCAGATCCGTGAGGAACCGACTGCCTCATCTCTCCTCTCCTCTCCTCTCCTCTCAAGTGAAAGCCTGGACCTGTGGGATGTTCAGCAATGATGGCACTCTGCTGCTCAGGAGCTCCCAGTGTGAGTTACACACGGGAACCCCAGGGAGCTTACACAAGAGCCAACCCTGGCTCTCATCCCAGAAGGGGCCAGTCTCCGAGGGTGGAGTGCGGTGTCAGAAGGGCTCAAGGTCCCCAGGTGGCTGCACTGTAGAGCCAGAGCTGGGCACCACAGCTGCAGAAAGGGACGTTTAGCAGATCAGAGAGAAGATAACATGAGGGCCTCTCCAGGTACTTGACTTGACATGTGTTCTGACAGTCAGCACTGAAAAACTAGAAATGGCTGAGAGCTACAAAGCTGTGCCCCCTTATTCTCAGAGGTGACCTGTGAACAGGTTTATTTTTCATCCATACTTGAGAACCTCACAGTTTGAACAAAAGGAGTCCTTGTCCTGAGGACTGAAAGGGGAGTCTTCACCCCGAGGCTGGTTCTAAGGCTCAGCAGGAACTTCAAAAATCTCCGTTTAGGCCAGGTTTTGCTGGAGTCAAACAACGGCACCAGCTGCAAACACTACTTCAGCTATGGCGACCCCTATTGGTTATCAAACCCCTAACCCTTTCAATGGTCCCATGGATCGATACCTTTATTACGTTCTTATAGAAGAAAAACAGGACTGTGAGATACCGGGTTATTTGCTAACGCCAAAGACCAAATTTCAAGTCACAAAACCTAGTCAATTCCAGAGAAAGGGCATCAAAATGCCTTGCAGCTCAAAGCCTTTGCCTCTTCTAAGCTCATGGACATCTGCAGTTAGGAATGACTCTCCCATTCCCACCCGGCTCATCTCAGTGAAGCTTCAGCCACCACGAAGGGCTTCTTCTCACACAGTCACTTAATTTCTCAGTGCCTAAAAGCAAACTGCTTGCCTCACACCCAAGATCCAGCTGAAAATGGCCATCAGTCAGATTAGCATGGTGACCTAGTATGGATGAAGTCAGGCGGCCCAAGCAATGTACCATCCCCTTCCCTCGAGACACACAGCAGCCGGGCTGGGGTGTGAAGCACGTGTGGAGGATCTCACCCACACAGGGAGGATGCTGACACCACAACAAGGACACTGGCAACACCCGCATTTTGGCTGCCTGCTAATTAGATACATGGGGATAGGCCCAGGCCAGGCGCGTGCAGGTGGTAAGGCAAGGACTGAACTCTCTCCTGCGCTTTTCTGGCTGTGACAGGAACAAAGAGCTGGCCACCAAGGGAGGCCCGAGGAGCCCCCATCAGTGCTGACTTCTCCACGAGGTCTGGGCTGCTAAGGTTTATATTTAGGGAAGCTCTGCTTCTCAACAAGAGGAGAGTTGGGGCTCTCTTCTTAAATCAGTTACATCTCAACATGGCCCCCAGAGCCTAGGATTTATGCCTTTATTGAAACTCTAATCGCTGAGGCTCTGGGAATCTGATGACTCAGCAAGTCCTGTGAATCTCCCTCCACAGGAAATCCCAGCAACTGGCAAAAAGGGCTCTTTAAAGAAGAAGGGTGCGCCAAGGAAGTATTTGCTATTCTGGATCAAACATTGGGCTAGTTAATCATTTTGAGTCGCACAACACTGTGCATAGCAGAAACCATAATGCTGATGTTTCAAAGATATACTGCAGCTTTAGGGACTTCCAGTTACAGAGTTAATTCTGGAGATCTACAGCTTCTAAAGGGGCTTTGTTTCTTTCATTGATGATATTATACGTAACACATTTAAGGGCTTTGAATATCTGTCACTTTCTGCACCTTCTCCAAGCCATTTCCTCAGCGTGAAGCCACCCCACCTTCTGTAGTTACTGGATGCTCTTTCCCCAGAGCTCAGCAAGAATGCTGTCTCTTCCATGGGGCCATCCTTGTGTTCCCAACCACCCACTCACGCCTTTTAGCCAGCATCACTCTGCCCTTCTGGGTTCATACAGCAAAGGTCCTCGATTATGATGCTAGTTTTTGCAGTCTGTATTACACTCAGCCACTGCCCTCTGTCTCCCCTCCACGGTAACTTCTCTGAAAGGCAGAGGCACTGGTCTACTCAGCCCATGGTCAGGTTCTTTATAGACAGTGGCAGTACATAGCAAATGCTGGGCTCAGATAAAACAGTGACCCCTTAAGACCACCAGAAAACATCTCCTCCATTCCAGTGAAATCGCTTCTCAAATCATGGACCATGAAAACAACTGTATTACATCTGACACAACAACAGATTCTAGATCACCGATGACTTTTTCTAGAGATGGAGCAATAAAAAAATGATAGGCCATCAACCTGCAAGAGGACCTCACTCAGTTCCCCGGGACACATCTAAACCAGCAACGAAAGTGGCTCTCCAAGAAGAATGGACATCACTTCCTCTGGTTTACACATATGCACCATATGCAGGACACAGGAGGGCGAAGTAGATGGCTACTGGGCCCCCACAGGACAGCACCGAAGCTGCAGTCTACAAATGAAGAGGAGCACGCTGGGTAGGCATCCCCGAGTTGCACCTAGATGTCTTGCTGCCAGCAACAGGGCAGGTACAGATGCTCTGAGAAGACCATAGGGTTCAGGCTGGCTCAGTCACCCAAGGACAGCTGTGCTGAGGAAGTGCCCATGCTCTTCTTACTCTAATCACCTGGCAGACACATCACCAAATGTGGAACTCAATGGCCATTTATCAACTCTGATCACACATTTGACAAACGTGGTCATCTCCAGAAAGCCTCCCACTGTCTCCTGGCAGTGGTTTCCTAATCCTCAGGTGCTGAAAGCCCTCACCTCTTCCTGAGCCTGGGAAGGTACAGGGTGGGAAAGCCGGAGGGCTAGACTCCGCTAAACCTCATTCGCACACAGAGTTTAGTCAGGAACCCATGCCAACACAAAATCCTCTCCCCATGACAGCACAGACTCACAAGAGTCCTAGTCCCAGAAACGTAAAAGCTGACTCAGTCAAGAGTCCCCCCTACTCTGCACGCGTCCCTTCACCCTAGGCTTCTACACACCGCTGCCTGCTAAGAGGTGCAGATCTGACTTTCCCACCCTTCCTACCACAGCTAACTTTAACCTTCACACCCACTGTGCTCCTGCCCAAACAAGGGCCCCTCCCGGCCTCCCTGAGCCTGGCCTCCCTCATGCCACCCTGCCGAGTCAGGCTTCTCCCAGTGCCAAACTGTCACACCTCAGATCTATCTATCCTTCAAGGTGCAGCTCAAACTCCCCCACCCCCGTGAGATCCTCCTCCTGCCTCCTGCAGTAGCACTGCCTCCGGGTGCGCCCCGGGGCTTTGACTCCTGTGCTGCATTTATCTGTGAGCAGTTCAGCCCTTCCTAGAAAGGGAGCAAACCACGACCCCTGAGGGCTCTGCATGGGGGACTCAACATCTTCTATAAGCTTCTCACTGGACACGTGCCCCTGAAATATGTTCCACTCCTTACTATCAACTATTCCATATTTACAATGGGGCCGGGGATTTAGCTCAATGGTTCCGTCACCTGCCTCACAAGCTCAAGGTCCTGAGTTCGATCCCTGGTACCAAAAATATAAAATAAGATAAAATAAAACAAATCACAAGAATTGTAGTCAAATGCACTGCTGGATTTCACTTTCTACCTTTACTCGACACACAAGTGGGTCCAGAAAGAGTAAGAGAAGGTCTTCGGGAAAAGAAACATTGTGATTGACAATGGCAATTAGTTCCAGTGGCTGACCAATTATCAGGCCGTGCCCCTTGCAGAAAGCACTTCAGGACTCCCACTGTCACAGTGTGGGGTTCCAGGCAGGTCAGCTGCACAGCAACCATCACTGCCTCTCAGGCATCTTTTGTTTATTTGGTACCAGGGATGGAACTCGGGACCTCGAGCTTGTGAGGCAGGCGGCGGCGGAACCACTGAGCTAAGTCCCAGGCCCCCTCAGGCATCTTCACAACCGCCTAGCAGGGTGAGCAGGTTTCTTCCCAGCCCGATGGGCTAAGCATTTAGTTCTGTATGGGTAGCACAGGTGGGAGCTGTCTTAGGTCACAGGCGAGTGCAGGGAGACCCTGCTCTCCCAGTCCTTGTCCTACAACACTGGGGTGAAGAAACTTCTGCTCCAGGAGTCCAGGGTGAATGCGAGCATTCACTGAATTTCTGAGGCCCACAGTGCCATGTCCAATCCTCCTCGACTACAAAAGCCCCTTACTCACTAAGAACCTGAATCCCCAACCTCAGGCAGAAACCCAGAGTTGGCATGAATACACCTGCACTCTCCGTGCCAGGGCCAGGCAGGAAGCGAGGTGGCTGAGAAGGGGTCGCCCTCCCCCAGCCTTAGCAGGGCACCTGCAGGGCCCCTGGTCTGTGTGCTGACGGGGAGAACAGCAGCACCTACTATTGCGTTTGCCTTCTTCTCCACCCTCCTCCTCGTTCTCAGGATCAATGTCTTCTGCCTGAGTGATCCAATCCAAGTAGCCCTTGAGATCCTCTTCCAGCTGCTGCTTTTCCCGTAGCTTCTGGAAGTCTCCCCGTGCTTTAGCCTTCTCTCTTTCCTTTGAGAACTCTCTGAAGGAAGCAAAGAGAACAAGTATTTGTCAGGACATCCTTGGGGACCTGCATCATAAGCTGTCTGCCCTGCTGCACAACGGCTTGTGACAGGACACACAACACTGAGTTTAGCCACATAAGCACAATAATGGAGCCACACACGTGTACAGGATAGAACACAGTGTCTCCCTAAGCAAGACTGTGGGGGTCAGATTTGCAGAGACCATACCAACACACATGCATAACTTGTTAGGAAATGAGCTGCCTCCAGGATGACAGAAATCTCAAGGAGCCCAAGCCAGAAAAACTATGTACTGTCACGGTGGGCCACTGACACTCGCCACAACTCAGAGACGGCCCTCCCTCCCCAGAGCCTCTTCTGATACCTGGCATCGCATTTCAAAGAGAAGGAAACTGAGTGGGCCAAGCTGAAGTCAAACACAGCACCTGACTTTGGGCTTCTTCAACACTTGTGGATACAACTTTGCGTTCATATTGTGTGCTGATCCCTCCGCCAAAGCCAAGAGTCCTGAAGAGGGAGTGGTCTCTGGTCCTCTCTGATGCCCATGATAGGGCTTCTTTTCCAACCCCTGCAGCTTCTGGACAGGGTCTGCCAGACCCATGCCTCCGGCCCAGTTCTCCCTTCCCTGCAGGAACCTGAGCCCCGGTAAAGCACTACTCCTTTCCCTAATCCTTGCTTCTTCTTGAGCTCTTTCCCCAAAAGCCTCCCCTGCAGGAGGTGAGGAGGCAGTAGAATTGGTTGCCCACTTATGGGAACACCTGCCCTGGAAAAGGCTCTGGCAGACATACAGATGCTCCCAACTGTTCACTGTTTACTCTGCCTTCTGCATCTACAACCCTGTATCCGCGCATATACATAAAATCCCACACTCATTCAGGCAAGTCTGAGAGTCAGGTGGACAATTACCCAATCTTTATGTGCAAGGAGCCATTTGCATTTCCAACCATGAACAGCTGTTATAGGAGCCAAGATATGCAAAATCTGGATTTAGAAAGCACAGATGAAAAGCTTCCAGGAAAGCAAGCAGGGTCACAGGGAGGGAACATCCTACACACAGACCCCACGACTCTGACAGTTGTCTGCCTGCCCGCTGACCTTCCGATTCAGAGCCAGCACATCTCCCTTCCAGGCAGCTCATGACTGGCAGAAGAGGAGCGACCTGCTTTCATCAAGCTAGCCGCCATCCTCTCTCATCATGCCCTCAAACTCCAGGCCCTTGAGAGGCTGAACGGACTTGAAACCCAGAGAGACCAACTCTCTGGGTAGGAAACTGGCTCCTTGCCAAGGCACCACCTTCTGCCCACAATGAGAAATGACCCCACTCACTGCTCCTAAGTAACCCCACCTTTCAGATGCCCCCAGACTGATCCCCGGACCTGGTAAGGCTGCTCCGTTTCCACTTGCCCCCTGGGACATCAGGAAGGAGGAAAGGCTATGGGTGTCCTGGGTGCACTTACAGAAAGTAGCATCAGGAGTTTATGGGGGAGACAGGAGCTCTGCCCTCCCGGCCCGCAGGCACACCTTCCTCCAGCAGAACACTGTCCTGCCTCAAAAAGACGGGGCTTGGAGGGCAGAATGTTGCTGCTCACACAAACCATACCCTGAGAACAGCTGAGGGGTTCTAGACCTTCTAGGCTTCCTGAGATACAGGAAATGCAGAGCGCATCCCTGGGTAAGTTCACCAAATGACTCTGAACTCCGAAAATGTCACATTCAATGAAGAATCACATCCCTGTGCAACTGCGTGTATCACGTGTCCATAGGAAAATACGTTATATAATCTCCTCTCGTAAAAATACTGTAAAGAACAAGCAGACCTTCAAATCTATTATTTATTAAAATGTTTTCATTCTGGACTCAGCTTATAAATGTAGATGATTACATATAAACAGGATACTCTTAGTTTGGATTCACATCTGATCTGAGTTCTTAAAAAAATGATAAGACAGTCAAAGAGTTACCCTGTGAAGCTTAAGAGCTTCATAAAATAAAATTTTACTTTAATATCATATTTTATCTATTTGTTTACATTAGAACTATAAAAATCTATCTCTTACAAGCTGCAAAACTGTTGCACATTCTTGGCTATTGGGACTTAGTTAAGCAGGCATAAGTAAAACCCTACTAGGACTGAAATTTATGAATTAAAAAAACTGCCAAGTCCTTATTTACGATACACTTATTTAAAATAATAGTCACCATTACAAAAGTTCACATAACAAAGTTGTTTATATAGATCCTCTAAATCGATTTCAGACAGCTCTCAGTGGCATTAATACCTAGCAGACAGGTAACATTGATAGATTTGGACAGCACTGAGATTTACATGGGATAAACCTCGTGTTGGCTATAGGCCAGGATGGAGGAAAGAGAAAGAGAGGTGGCAGCCTGTGTGATAATCCAAGGTGCCTCCTTGGTCCTCCTAGACCACTTGGGCACTGAGTCTGAAGACCTGTATTCTAGTCCCAGCTCCAAACTTTCTTTTGAGCTTCCATTTTTTTCTTACCTACAAAACAGCACACTTGTTCTATTGTTTTACATGAATTAAGTAAGACATTCAGTAAGATGATACTTCAAAAAAATCACAAAGCACTGTACAAATTTAAAGTTCAAGTGTATAATATTTAATTGTTGGGTCTAGGCAGAAGAGAGGAATAAGAAAAAAAGGCAACTGGAAGGGCCTTCTCCAATACCAAAGGGTGAAAATGAGGCACAGCTCTGAATGTGCTCTGAGCTGCTACGGATCCCAGCACACACACAGACAGATACACAGGATCCAAGGACTCAGACTACAATGAACCAGACCACCCACATCAATGCCGCACCACTTCTCAGCTGAGAAAAACCCATGCCCACCACAACAAACCCTCAGTTTCAGAAAATCACCCTGGAAGTCCCCTGTATCCTGTATCTACCTCTGTGAATGACTAAAAAAAGTTACTCCGTTTTGCATAGGATTTCATCATCTTCTAAGAAGCCCATCACTAAGAAGTTACGCGGTCTATTTTGGATAAGGTTCCTATGCTGATGAAAAGTATATTCTGCTGTTGGGTGGAATACTCTGTAGATATCTATTAAGTCCATTTGTTCAAAAGTTTGGTTCAGCTCTAATATTTCGTTGATTTTTTTTTTGTCTAATTGATCTATTTGTGACAGTAGGGTATCAAGGTCCCCCGTAATAGCTGTGCTGCTATTTATCCGATCACTTCATGTCCAGTAGCACTTGTTTTATGAAGTTCGGCATAACAGTGTTTGTGGCATATCTGTTTACAGTTGTTACCTCTTTCTGTTGAATTATTTCCTTAACCAAGTGTAGTGACTTTCTTTGGCATTTGGCTTGAAGTACACTTTGTCTGAAATTAAGACAGTGATTCCTGCTTTCTTCTGGATTCCTGTTGCATGCAATATTGCTTTCCACCCTTTGACTTTGAATCTTTAAATTTCTTTTTCAATTAAATGTGTTTCTTGTATATTGCTTATCATCGGGTTTTGTTTCTTTATCCATTCTGCCAGTCTGTGTCTTTTGATTGTGGAATCAAGACCATTCACATTGGAGGTTATTATCGAAAGGTAATAACTGACCCCTCTCATTGCATTATTGTTGCTGATTTCCTCTCCCCCTCCTTCTGCTTTACTGCTCACCCTGTACTGTGTTTTCACTCTGTTTGATTTATTGGCATTATTTGTTTTATTGTCTATTTCTAGGACTCCCGTAAGATTATTTTGTAGTGCTGGTTCTGTGGTCATGAATTTCTTGAGGTAGTTCTTGTCATGGAAATGCTTTATTTTTTCCCATCAGTTCTGAAGGAAAGTTTTGCAGGCTATATAAGTCTGGGTTGGAAGCTGTTATCTTTTAGGACTTGAAACACTTCATTTGAATTTCTCTTGGCCTTTATTTGTGCTGAGAAGTCTACTGTAATTCTAATGGGTTTACTTTAATAAGGGGTTCATTGCTTTTCTGTAACAGCTTTTAAGATTCTGTCCCTATGTTGGATTCTGGGATTTTCACTGTCATGTGTTGTGGAGAAGTTCTCTTTTGATCATGACCTCTATGTGCCTCACTTATCTGTATGTTTAATTGTTTCTGTACATTTGGAAAGTTTTCTGTTATTATTTTGGTCAACAGGTTTCTTAATGCCATTTGTGCTGTCTTCTGATTTTTCACTTATTCCAGTTAATCTTAGATTCATCTTCTTTTCATCATCTAGCAGCTGTTGGATCCATTTTTCATGTTTTCTTGTTTTTAAAGTATCTCTCTCTGAGTAGGTCTCTGATAGGAGCCCTGTCTTCTAGTTCTGACACTCTGTCTTCGCGTTGGTCACTTCTGCTGCCCATACTTTCAGTGGAATTTTTAATCTCCTGGATTTCTGTCTGGAACCTTTTCACGGACTCTTATTCTTTGCTAAACTGGACATTCATGTTTTCTAATGTTTTGTTTAGTTCAGCTAGTTTTTTATTAGTGTCCTCTGTAAACTCCCTGATTGTTTTCCTACATCCATTATCTGTTTAGTTACATCTTCTGTGGGCCCACTGAATGCAGAATTGTTGATCTGTTTTTTAATTTCTCTGTTATCCTTTTGAATAATTTGGCTATGTGGCTTCTGTTTTCCTTCCCCTTAAACCCCATGGATAGGCTTTGTGGGTATTGGGAGTTTTGGGAGCCATTTTGATACCTGGTCTTGTCATATTTCTATTGTTTTTTTTGTTTGTTTTGTGGTGAGGTATGTGGGTGCTTACAGTGGAAAGACTTTGTTGCTAGTATGGTGATCTCCTTAGTTAGTTCTTGCTTTTCACCAACGTATTTTAGGCATGGCTAGCTATAGTCTTTTGCCCTGTCCTGAGATGTGGCCACTTCCATTAGGGGAGGGGAGGATGTAGTGTAATTGGCCCAGTACCCAGTTTTCCTGAAATGGACCACAGTCGTATTAATGATACAAAAACAATCCAGATATTGGCATAGAGAGAAAAACCTATTAATAGCAACAACTATGCCATT